AAACCTTCCCTTAACCCTCTTTGTTGTAACCTGTCAGCCTATCTCCTTTCTCTGCACTCCCTTCACATAATTGATTATAACATCAAATAACTTAAGTTCCTGTGCAGTCCAGGCAGTTGGCTAAATGACAGACAAATGGAGACAAAAGAAGTGATAGAGATGTAAACTAAACATTCCCAGGACTTTCACACTAAGCCAGATCTCCAGGCTTTTTCTTTATAATTATCTTGAGATATGGTCTAACTAAATTGCCAAGGTTCAGACTTGTAGTTCTCCTGCCTCCCAGGGTGCCGGGATTACAGGTGTGGCCCACACACCCAGTTTATTTCCCTTATACAGTTATAAAAATTTTGCCAGGTTACAGTGCAGTTAAGTAGCAGAGTTCATGCATAGCATGTACAAGGCCGTAGGTATAATCCTTTTTTTTTTTTGTCTTTTTTGAGACAGGGTCTCGCTATGCAGTTCAGGCTGGCCTTGAGCTCGCTTTGTAGCCTAGGCTGGTCTCAACCTCACAATGATCCTCCTGCTTCAGCCTCCCGAGTGCTGGGATTACAGGTGTGCACCACCACACCTGGCAATAGGTACAATCCTTAGCTTATACACACAAAATTAAAGCCAGAGTCAGTGTTGTGTGCCCATAGTCCCAGCACTTGGAGACTGAGGCAGGAGGATCCCTTGAGCCTAGTAGGAGTTCAAAGTCAGCCTGGGTAGTGTTGAAACTATTTCAAAATTTAAAAAATAAAAATAGAAAATTAATCAGAGCTCCAAAAAATTTTGTTTCTGTGGATAATATCCATTGACACTATACTGAAATGTGAGAAATCTACTTTTTGAAAGATTTTTCTATTGGTACATTTTAGATATACATAATGATAACATTCATCATAGGGAATTTGTACCTGTACATGAATAGATCTTCCTTCTTCCTTTTCCCTGTTCCCCTCCCTTCAACCCTGCTTCCCCTCCTTATTTACAAAAACTTTGTTTCCATTTTTTCCTTCTATTCTTTTTTTCTTGTCCCTTCCTTCCTCTCCCCTCCTCCTCCCTTGTTCCCCTTCTCATTTGAACATTTTCTTCCCATTTCCCAATATCTGTTACATATTTTGGGTTTTTTGTTTGGTTGGTTTTGTATTGTTTTGAGACAGGATCTCACTATGTAGCCCAGGCTGACCTTGAACTCACAGCAATCCTCCTGCCTCAGCCTCCAGAGTGTTGGGATTACAGGTGTGTGCCACCCCCACCACACCCAGAAAAATGTAGTATTTTAGCTCACAACACAATCATGCAGATGTTTTTTCTCGAGTCAACCACTGTACTTTTGTATTCAAGAAGTGTTTTTTTGTAGTACTTATTATGTAAGTACTTACTATGTAAGTACTATTACTATTATGTAAGTACTTATTATGTAAGTACTTTCCTTATTAAAGAGATAGATACAATATTAAAAGATACAATATTAAAGAGACAGATACTCCAGCACTGACAAGTAGCTAGGCACAGTGTCCCACATCTGTCATCCCAGCTACTCCTGGAGGCTCAAGAAGAAAGAACACAGATTTGAGGCCAGCCTGAACTCGTATTTAGTGAACTCGTATCTCACAATTAGTGAACTCATATCTCACAATTAAAAAAGAGCTGAGACTATAACTCACTAGCAGAGTACCACTGGATTTAATCCTCAGTGCTGGGAAGGGTATTAATGAAAGTATTTTTGCTTTGTCGTGATAAACATTCTTAGCTAAAACTGAATTTTTAAAAAATGGATTTTGTGATGAGGAATATAGTGACTACCAGTACAGTTTGACGATGGATCCTTGAATTGTACTAAGGCAACAGCAAGCACTTTTTATCCATTGTTGCTTTTTTACACCAGTACAGTACTAGAGATTGAACCCACGGCCTTCACACTGAGCTACATTCTCAGCCCTTCTTATTAGTACATATTTGCAGTACTTAATGATTACATTAATTATGGGGAGCTAGATGTGGTGGCACACACCTGTAATCCCAGCACACAGGAGGCTGAGGCAGGAGGATCACTGCGAGCTTGAAACCAGCCTGGGCTACACAGTGAGTTCAAGGCCAATGGGCTGGGGATTTAGCTCAGCGGCAAAAGCGCCTGCCTAGCAAGCACAAGGTTGTGAGTTTGGTTACCGGTACCGGAGGAAAAAAAAAAAAGGCCAACCTGAAATACATAGTTAGAGCCTGACTCAAAAACAAAACAAAACAAAAAATTATGGGTAGATTCTTGTTTGCTTTTGCTGTCTTCTGCTTGCCATAAATTTGTTTTCTTCTGTGATCCAATCCCCCTTTTCCAAGCTACCCTGCCTTGCAGCCAGCCAAATATGGACTGAAATCTCTACAAAATGTGAGCTAAATAAACCTTTCCCCCTTAAAAAAAAGAAAGAAATGGGGAGTTCGTACATGTACATAGCAAGTCTTAATTTTTTTAAAAAATCCCTTTCCTCTCTGCCCTTCTGTAGTTTTATTTTTTTATTTTTTATTTTT